TATGATTTGCAAATATTTTCTCCCATTCTGTTTTAACTTTTTTGACAGTATCCATTCATGCACAAAAGTTTTTAATTTTGATGAAGTCCCATTTATCTGTTTCTTTGATTGATTGTGCTTTTGGTTTCACATCAAATAATCCATTGCCTAATCGAAGGTCACAAGGATTTATGGCTGTGTTTTGTTTGACAAGTTTTATAGTTTTAGCTCTTACATTTAGGACTTTGATTCTTATTTTTCCTTTATAACCTCTGGCATTTTTTTAAGTTAAAGTTTATTGGGGTGACACCTCTGACATTTTTATTAAGCTTTTTTTGTGTGTTTAAATGGTTCTCAACATTTTCTACTATAAATAGTGTTTTAAAAATATATACTCTTACAGAGATATAGAAATATTTTATTAGAACAATGTAGTAATAATATATATACACACATATACATACATACATACATACATACATTTAGGTGTCTGTGTGTATTCACACACTTGTCTGATCATTTCCTTAGAGTAAATTACATAAAATAACATTGTTGGGTCAAAGTTGTATAATTTTAAGACTTNCCTCTGGCATCCCAAGCCAGTTCTTAACCATCGCGCCACTCGGGCGGCCCTAAAGGTTGTGTTTTTTAATGGCATGTTGTTTATGTTCTTTCTTTTCATTGCCCCTTTGTTTTTAATGTGTCTTTTATTTAAAATATTCATTTAATGGTTTTTAAAAGATTTTTTGTTTGTCACTGACTTTGGGGAATTGATGCTTATGGTTTTCTTAGTTTTTATCCTGTTTGATGTTCCTTTAACTTGTTGGATTCCTGGGTTTCTATTGGGTTGTCAGAGAAGTCGTGATGCATTTTTGCAATGAAAAACATAGAAAAAATACATCATGACTTTTCCGATAACCCAATAGTTTCCATTAATTTTTTTGAAAATTTTTACCATTATTTCTTTAAATAAGTTTTTCTGTTCTTTTCCTCTGTTGGATTCCATTTACATATATATTAGACTGTTGCATATTGTCTCACTGGTTTCTTCATTCCCCCTCTGCCCCCCACCTCGTATTTCATTTTGGATAGTTTCTATTGCTTTGTATTCAAGTTCATTGATCACATTTAGTTAATCTTTCATATTAGATAACTAATTTTTTATTTCTAGGAGTTCCATTTAGTTCTTTTTTATATCTTTTATTTCTCTTCTCACACTATTCATGTTTTCCTTTCAGTATTGAATCATAATTTGCATCTATTTTGCTGTGCTTGTCTGCCAATTTCAACATCTCTGTCACTTCTTGGTCTATTTTTGTTAAGTGATTTTTCTCCTGTTTTTTATTCATATTTTCCTTGATTGACATATCTAGTAATGTTTTATTAAAAAGTGGATATTGTAATTTGGATATTGTTGAGTGTATGCTATCTAGAGTGCTTGGCTTAATTCTCTACAGGCGTTTAAGTCACTTTTAGTTCAGTTCAGTTATTTTGATTTTTAAAAAGAAAGCTTTGTTAAGGTGTGCCTTAAATACCCTTTAATTTATGGATGGTTTTGCCCCATTGCTAATGTGTGGCCCTTCTCTGGTCTCTATCAAATGGCCTGAGTTATACATGAAGACTCTCTACTCTGCCTTGTCTGTAACTGAATGCCTTCCATATCTACATGATCTGTTTAAACTGGGGACTGTTTAGCTCATTATTTCTCAGTCACAGTTTGTCTGGCCTTATGAAGTTGTACTCCTCATGTACATTTTACTATTTATCTAAAACTCACAGTGACTCCTATCTTGATTCCTGGAGGTCTTTTTGTATAGCTCCTTTTTCTCTGTACTTCTCTATAGTTTCTTTGTTTAGTTCTTCAGCCACCTCAACTCAGCACAACTGCAGTACTCTGCTTGGGATACCCTTTCCCTGGATTCTGGAATGTGCCTTCAAGCAGCATTCCAGGGGGAACATAGGGCCCTCCTTGTTGTTTGTGCTTCTCTCAGGGATCAGTGTCCTGTTGGTTCCTGTTATCCAGTGTCTGAAAATATTTGTTTCACATGTTTTGTCTACTTTTCTAATTGATTACAGCAGGCGGGTAAATCTGGTACCTAATAACTTAATGCATCATTTCATAATATAACATACATTTTGGTTCCTTATCTCCATCAGCAGAAATTGGGCTCAACCTTTTTAAATATGTTAGTTAAATGGTTTTGTTTTTATGTTTTGCTTTTCTTTTGTCAATTCAGGTATGGGATATACATTTCATGTCCTTATTCATCCTTTACTGTACCTTAATTTATCATTTGTCCTCAGTTCTTCCATTTCATTGTCCTCTATTTGTTATTATATAAACTTTCTTTAAAGCTTGAGTACATAAACACATCTCCTCAGTAATAAGTACACAATTTCTTTATAGATCATTTCATCCTCCAGGCAGGATGAAGATTCACTAATCCCCAGTCCTGAAGATATCACTTAATAACAAAAATTTCATCCAAATCGCTAATAAATACACGGTTCTAAAGTCTTAGTTAAAGCCTTGTGTATTGGTTTTCTATTGCTGCATTAAGAAATTACCTCTTATGACAAAATTATTATCTCACAGTTCTATAAGTCAGAAATTCGACAGTGGCTTAAGCTGACCATGGCTTTACTGGCTCACCTGCTCAGTGTCTCACCAAGTTGAAGTTAAGGTGTTAGCCAGTAATACAGTTTTCATCTAAAATTTCATGTCCATTTCCAGCTCACTTATTGGAAGAATTATTTTCCTTGTAGTTGTAACACTGAGGTCCTTAGCTACTAGAGACATCTCATCACAACATGGCAATTTGCTTTTCTTTGAGATGAGTAAGAGTGCATCTGTTAACAATGAACTCTTTTGAAAGATTCACTTTGATTAGGACTGGCCCACCCAGGAAAATCTCACTTTGATTAATCAAACCCAACTGATTACTGACCCAATTATGAGAATGATATCATATTTACAGATCTCAACCCCAAAGGGATTATACAGGGTGTTTACACCAGAGGGTGAAGCTTGGGGTTTTTTTTTTTTTAGGTATTTGCCTACCACACCTTGCAAGTAAGACAAGATAGTCAGGGAATTTTCACTTTTGACTAATGGCTTTGCTTCAGTGATAAGTAGCTGGGACACATCCAAGCTAGGACACAAGAAAAATTTAGGAAATACTTAGTCTATGCCAGATACTTTGCATACATTCCCTCATTTAATCTCCTCTACAACCCCGTTAGGGCTGTTTATAATCTTGCCCAGTTTGTAAATTGAGAAACTGAAACTAAGAGAGTTTGAGTAACTTGTTGAAATCAAGTTTGGATCTAAATGGCCTGTGCTATTTATACTCAACCACACTCTCTTCTAGTATGAGTTTGGGTTTCTGTATCATTTACAGTTTTATGTAAATGTAGTATCCAGGTAATTTATTATAAATGTGTGACTTATTTTTAATTTTTTACATACAATAATGTTACTGTAGATATGGTTTTAAAAAGAGAGGATGTCTTTTTAAGAAGATATTCTAAAACGTTTACAATTGAAATGACATGTTTTCTCGGGTTTACTTCAAAATCATTTGTGGTATCAGAGGAAATGGGAGAATAGTTGGGAGGCTGTCAGTGAAACAAAACTGGCCAGAAATTGATAATTTTTGAAGCTGATAATGGGTAATAGGGTTCATTATACTATTCTGTCTACTCTTATGTTTGAAAAATTTTATAGTTAACATTAAATAATCCATTTGTTTCTAGTTATATATAATTCTAAATAAGAAAAAAATACTGGCTGAAAAAAATACTGGCTAAAATTTTATTCCTTAAACATCACAGTGTCTATAAATTTAAACACATGAATTTTTAATGATTTTCATGGAATCATAAAACTTTATATATGCATTTCCTTTATTCGAGTAGTATTGTGTAGTAGTTAAAAATATGGACACTAGAGTCGGTCTTAGTGTTGTGATACTTAATAGTTGTGTGAACTTGTATAAGTTATTTAACTTCTTTGTTTCTCAGTTTATTTTTCATTTGTAAAATGAGAATACTTGTACCTACGTTATACTGTTCTTGAGCATACTATGTAATGGATAGACATTGGGCTAAGACAGCGAAAAATATATGCACATGTGTGTTCGTGTGTATTATGTCTGTTTACGTTTTCTCTTAAATAAGAAACTTGAGATTATTATTACCCCTCTAGAATTAGAGGTTATTATATGTTCTTGTCATGCATTTGAGCTTGTGGTTCTCAAACCAGTGTTTCTAAATTGTTTTTCCTTTCACAGCACATATTTTCAGTGGGAGTCTTTTGGCATCTTGGGTGGGATGGTTCTTGTTTGGGACTGTCACATTGTAGAACATTTATATTGACCTTCCTTCCACCTACATTAAATACCAGTCCTGACCAGTAATTGTGACAACCACAAGTGCCCTTGTACATTTTCAGATGTCCTCTAGAATAGAATAATTCCTGTTTGGGGGGTCACATGTCTATTCAAATTTTAATGGCAGTGCCATAGATTAGTTTAGAGCACTGCTTTGCTCACAGCTCTACCTATAATGTGTTAAGATATCCAGGGTGAGAACTCATGAACTAAATTTCTGACATTACCACAATGATTGAAAGTCTTATGGAGGTTTTGGTTTTTTTGTTTTGTTTTGTTTTTTAAGTTGCAGAAAAGGACAGTTTATTAGAAGAAAAAATACATTTCAAAGATGCAGAAACAGGCCTGAGCAGTAGAGAATTGCTCAAGAGCCATTATTAGGAGAGAAAGTACACTCCAAAGAGTTTGGAGCAGGCCAAGCAAAAGGAGCTCAAAAGGCCTTGTGGAGGTTTTTAATTTTGGAAAACATGTAAACCTGCAATCTGTCACGGTCTTATTGAACCAAAATATTGGATTTGTGGTTTGGAAGTAGATGTTTTTATATTTTGGCAAATTTATTTTAATAAGACTAATACTCGGCCATTGCTTAAAAGATTTCTGTGCGCTTAACTATAATTCCTCTTCTTATAGGTGATAGAAATTGAAGATGCTTCACCCACCAAGTGTCCAATAACAACCAAGTTGGTTTTAGATGAAGATGAAGAAACCAAAGAACCTTTAGTGCAGGTTCATAGAAATATGGTTATCAAGTTGAAACCCCATCAAGTAGATGGTAAGAAACTTTTAGATGGTTAAAGCATTTTACTTAAGTTTTACCAAGTGATCTGTGTTCCTCATATTCTGCTAAGCACTTAGAGGTACATTGGTGAACAAAGCAAACATGATCCCTGCCCTTAGGGAACACATAAGCAAATGAGAAAGACCAAAATTGAATGATTTCAAAGATAGAATTATAAAAGGGGAAGTAAGTGGCACTTACAAATGGGTGTATATGGCAAGTGGATTTCACCTAGTCTGCAATGGTTGGCTAAGGTCAGTGGCAGGATAGGAAGACGTACAGTTAGCTAAAAGCCTTCTTAAGGAAAAGCTATTTCAACATTTTCAGGTATATTTATTAATAATATTCCTACATTGGTATTAGAAAGATACCAAATTATCTCTATCCTCTGCTTTGTTAGAGTAGAATCAGTAAGTCAGTTTTTAAGGTGTATGTGATTGAATTCATAAGGGAAGTTCTATAGTTGCTGTTCCCTAGGTAGCCAGCCCCCTTTCTTGTTCATGAATAAAGGGAGAAATGAGAAATTATCTCCTGTTTTTTTCATTATTGACTCAATAAAAATCAATGTATAATTGATCAAAATCTGGGTTTTTTTGGATAAAGTTGCTATTTTATTTATTTTTAAAGATTTTATTGGCGAATTGGGGGAGGGGAACAGCCAAGTCGTCCTTCAGTCTTAGCTGTGGAGGGCGCAGCAAGCTCAGCTCCGAGTCCCGTTGCGTCGCTGAGCTCAAGGTGCTGTGTTCAATCTTAGTTGCGGGTGGGTGTAGCCACCATCCCATGGCGGGAGTCGAACCAGCAGCCTCGTTAAGAGCACATGCTCTATCCACTGAGTCATCCGGGTGGCAGCTCAGTCCAAGGTGCTGAGTTCAGCCTTTAGTTGTGGGCGGGTGTATCCCACCATGTGGAACAGGCAACCTTGTTGTTAGGAACATGTGCTCTCACCAGCTGAGCCATCCTGCCACCTGTTGGCAGCTCAGCGGCAGCTCAGCTCAGGCATAGCTAACTGACCCATATGGGAAGTGAACCAGTGAGTCTGTTGCTCAGAGCTTGCACTCTTGAGCAAGCTCTTAACCAACTGAGCTACTCGGCCAGCCCTAAAGTTGCTATTTTAGATTATTCATGTATCTTTGGACCATCTGGGGCATAGAGAGAAGGTGGGCCAAGTTAGCTTAGATAAGATGAATGAAGGAAAGTCTCACTGTTGTGTGCTTGTGTTTACTGTCTTTTTTGTAGTAAACCTTAAAGGGGAGAATCTTCATTTACATTTAAGAGATTTTTTTATCTGTTTTTTAAAGTTCTTTATCTTAGAAGTTTTGGTAATTTTTTTTTATTAATGAAAGTTTATTGGGGTGACAATTATTAGTAAAGTTACATAGGTTTCAGATGTACAATTCTGTAATATGTCATCTATATATCACATTATGTGTTTACCACCAGAGTCAAATATATGGTGATGGAAGGAGAACTGACTCTGGTAATGTTTTTGATACTTTATGAAGAAAGATTTTTAACTTGGGCCTTTAAATTGAACTTAATTAAGCTGTTATTTTTAGGTGTTCAGTTTATGTGGGATTGCTGCTGTGAGTCTGTAAAAAAAACAAAGAAATCTCCAGGTTCAGGATGTATTCTTGCCCACTGCATGGGTCTTGGTAAGACTTTACAGGTAAGAAAGAACATGAGGGTATTCTGCTTTTGTACATTTATTAATTCAAAAATACACATAGGATCTATTATGTTCAGGCACAGTTATGGGGGCTGGAGGTAAAGCAGTGAATAAGAATAACAAGATCCATCCCCCAAGAACCTCATATTCTGGTGGTGGAGAGAGATTTCAATCAAAATAAGAAATATGTACTTTCAGATAATAACTGTTAAAGATTAATCAAGAGGGAAATCATCTTATAGTAGACAATGTTTGAGCAGAGATCTTAATGCAGTAAAGGAATGGTATTACAGGCATACACAGTAAAAAAGTAAAAACTGCAAAGATTCTCAGGTAGAAATGAACTTCCTTTACAACATTTTTAGCAGTCTGGGATCCTGTCGTAATGAGAATGTAAAATATTTTTCACTTTAAAATACTACATTTCTGAATGGCAAGAAATGTAGCACAGATGTGAAATCAGTGAATATATGTGTAATTTTAAACCATAAGATAATTATTATAGATTCAGAATACTTTAAAATGGAAAAGTACTCTGTAATACAATTCTCTTTTAAATGGGCAGTACTGTAGTATTTTCTGAAAGGTTTTAGGGGGACGTTCTGTGGAGACCAGGGACGTGGTAGCTGTTTTGGTGTGGTTGCTTCTTATATTCATATTATTAATTGATTGTAGAATAATATAGCTTTAGAGGAGTTAGAAGGGCCTTATATACCATCTAGTCGAACTCCCTCTTTAGACATATTATATCTCTTTGCATGGTTCAGAAAGTGTGACCTTTGGCTGCTTTATTATTTAAAGCAAACAAAAAGCACCCGACTATAGAATTGTAAGATTGCTTGATTTATTAACTTTTATGTGGGTCTTGAAATGAAGATCGCAACTTAATTAGTTTTTTTTTTGTAGGTGGTTAGTTTTCTTCACACGGTTCTTTTGTGTGAGAAATTGGATTTCAGTACAGCTTTAGTGGTTTGTCCTCTGAATACTGCTTTGAATTGGATGAATGAATTTGAGAAGTGGCAAGAGGGATTAAAAGATGATGAGAAGCTTGAGGTATTGTATTTTAAATTTTTTTATTATAAAAATAACTACGTGAAATTTATATAGTGCAAAAAGATTTTTCATTACCAATGATGCATACTTCAATGGGAATATTTAGTATTTGTACATTCCTAATATCTACCTTTAAAAATCTTTATTTTTCCACAAAAGGTCTCTGAATTAGCAACTGTGAAACGTCCTCAGGAGAGAAGCTACATGCTTCAGAGATGGCAAGAAGATGGTGGTGTTATGATCATAGGCTATGAGATGTACAGAAATCTTGCTCAAGGAAGGAATGTGAAGAGTAGGAAACTTAAAGAAATATTTAACAAAGCGTTGGTTGATCCAGGTAAGATATTAACAGGCGCTGAGATAGAGAAGCAAGTTGAATAAAAAAGGTGCTTTTTGTTTTATTTAATAAATACTAATTGAGCAACTACTAAGTAGCTGGTTTTATTTCATTTATCCTTCAGGTTTTCCCTTCTTTTTGTTTCTTAGTATAATTTCATTAAGATGAAATCACCCTTTTTTATCCTTGAGATTTTTATTGTCTTCATGATAAGAATATGAATCTTAGAACTGGATTGATCACTTGGCCTCTTCATTTCTCCTAGTTCAAAATACTTGCATCTCTCAGTAGCCAGCAATCTTTTAGATCTGTAGTGGTCTCAACACAGTCAAGCCTCAGGACAATCTCCTTTGTAGTTTTAGCCATTTTTGTGGAAAATCGGCTTAGTCTGCCCACCATAACCACTCTGCTTCCTGTCATAACACTGCTTTCCCTGCACATACAGAGTCCTTACCCTTCTTGTACTGTGTCACTTTGTGGGGTTTGTGCTTGCCACACTTCTTCCAGAAAGTCCAGCGGGTTTAAGGAACGTTTACCATGTTTGTGAGAGCGCTTTCAGCATGGAAAGCAAGATGAAATCACCCCAATGTTGCCAGCTCTTCAGAATATACTTGCTGAGTCTGGAAGTATTTGAGGTTTCCAGAGGAGATCTTGTAAACAAAAGTGCATCATGTTCCTGTATCACAATTGCAGATGCTTCCAACTGTCTGACTATTAAACGATAACAGGAGCTCTCTCCATTGTCTGAAAACAGTTCTTAAGCTTCTTTCCCAACTTTATGTCTTTAAGAGAATTGCTGCATATTAATTTTTTCTCTTTTAAAGGGTGGTCACTGTAGAAGATTAGTATTTGCAGTACTGTCCATCCTTATGACAGTAATCCTTATGATGCAAGATCCAAATATTTTACTCTTTTGCCACCTGGAAAAGCAGCAAGTTGTATTATCCACCATATTAATTAATT